CACTCAGACCAATTCCTTGGACTCCTTGGTTAATGTACATACACTGATTCAAATGTGTCCTCAATTATATAATTCCTATTTTTATGGGTTCATATAATAATGTGTCCCTTTTCTGCTTAAACAAAAGTTGTAGGGTGACATTCAAAGTGGGATGCCCAACTGTCTTCACCACAGTGGCAAGACTTAGTTGCATATTTCGGTTCACTAATCTTGTACTTTTCAAGCAAAGAATCATTGAAAGTAAATTTCTCAAGTGAAAATCTTGCCCAAATATATTTGAAACCCACTCTATCACATTGTAGATGTCTAATTAGCCAGTATGGGCCTAAGATTTTTCTGGATACATAAGATTGCTTGAAATGAATAACCTAACTGGTATGAAAATACAGATTCGTGGGTTGATATGTATTTTTTCTTAAATCAAACTGAATTTGTGTTATATGAAGAAATCCAACAAGATGGACGACAAGGTATGATGGTTAAACTAAAAATAAGTATCTGCTTAAGAAACATTTTCTAGTTGAACGGAAGTGTGTTCTTGCATGACTTAAACCCTATCGAAGTCTGCTTTGTACATAGGAATTTTGGTTTATTAATCATTCCTACTGATGTCAGTTTCCGTGAAGTTTTATCTGAGGTCTATCCTTCTTCAACTTTACCAAATGTTAGCTGAGGTCTATCCTTTCTTCAAACGCAAACAGAGCCCAGTAACAACCAACAGGCTTGAAGAAATCACAACTTGATCATATGGTAACTTAGACAAAATTTTCTATAGTGAACTTTAAACAGAATGTTTCATATCTTTCCTTTTACCAACAATAGCGATCTTAACTTTATCATGGATTACCAGGATGGATTACTCTTGTCACCTACTGACTAGTTGTAGTTGTAGAGTCCCTTAGCTTAGAGATTGGATCAAATGTTACTCGTCTAAACAAATAAATGTGATACTTAGGCATATGGTTCTACCTGATTCCAATGCTTCGAACTACGCCCTGTGTTACCAGATCTTCCATCGCATGCCAGGTCGTCTCAAGGGATATGGTTGTATCTATGTCCAGTAAGCCATTTTCATCCAGAGCACTAGCAGTTGTTCCAACTCCTGCCCTTGCGTTAAAGTATTTGCAACTGTAGTTAGCTTCCAATAAACTATCAAAGGAGAAGCTACAATATATGAATTTAGTAAATATAAGGACGTACCAGTGTGCTTTGTAGCCACTGGAAAGTGGACAAGATAAAGATCAAGGTATTCCAATTGTAGCTTATTCATGCTATCCTTACAGGCCTCAAGAACATGCCCATGATCTGAATTCCAAAGCTGTCCTCAGAAAGGTATCTATAGTTTACCGGCTTTACTGAACTAACCTTCGTGGTGATAAAAAGTTCTTCCCTTTTGACAAGACCAGTCTCAAATGCCTCTCTAAGAGCTTCACCAACTTCAGCTTCATTTTTGTAATCAGCTGCAACAAGAGTTTGCCAAACTAGTGAGGAAGGGCGGGAAAGGGAAGGCACGCATGGAAGGATCAGACTACTTCTACTTGAATAGAAATATTGCTGGCATGTGAAAATACACAACACTTAGGAGGTTTAGAACAATGCTAATAATAATAAATTTCTGAGGGAATGAAAGTTGCATAACTCCTATATGAATATATAGTCACGGTGCAGGTTTTGCAATTTATCCTGAACAAAAGCATGTCAAGAAGAAAATCATTTGCACTAAAGGTTATGATAACCCTTATATATACTTGAATGTCATTTTAAAAAACAAAGATATAAGGACACATTAGGAAAGCATAAAGGAAGGCTTAATTCCTTCACATACATAGACATTACATTAAAAATGAAAAGCATAATCATAATGAGTTTAGGCTTTTTTAAGTTTAAGTGCATCAATACGAAAAATATATAAGAAATGCAATCTTCATTGTTCTACATCTGATTCAAACTAATTTATTATGATCGTTCAGTATTTGTTTGTTTTATCAATAAGGATAATGAAACTATCTGTTTAATAAACTATTGGCACCACACATGTGATCAAGTGATTTAATTATGTCATCAAAGAATGTCAAAGAAAGTTGTGCATTCAGATGCCATTCGCCGCAACCAACCAGGGGAGGGTGAACAGAGAGGAAGTGTCACGCCCCGGGCCCATGGGCCCATTGGCGCATGCAAACTGTAGGACCTACCGAGAGTAACTCGATGTTGGCTAAATTCTACTATCAAAATGCTAGCACTAGTTGTTCTTGGATCTTGGATTTCTCTATTTAAGCCACTAACATTTCTACACACTAGTCCATATGGGACTAAAGTGAGGGTATCACTATCACCTTACCTTACAAAGACGACGTCCTCGTCGTCATGACATGACAATTGACACATCTCAGTATCACTTGCCAGGCGATGTGGACTCTAGAGGTGGCTTCTACTGGTTCTAGATGTGACTCCCACCGCATCCACGCATTGTAGCATTTAGCCTCGTATAACACTTAGCTCCACACTTTCGGCTAGCTAACTGTTCTGATATCATTTGCCACGCCCCAGGCCAACGTGCCCGTTGACGCATGCAAGTCGTGAGACTCACCGAGAGTAACTCGATGTTGGCTTAAATCCACTGTCAAAATGCTAGCACTAGTTGTTCTTGGACCTTAGGCTTTTCTATTTAAACCACTAATATTTTTTCACACTAGTCCATGTAGGACTAAAGTGGGGGTGTCACAATCATCTCGTCTTACAAATACGACGTCCTCGTCTTCACGACATGATAGCACATCCCAGTATCACTGTCAGGCGATATGGACTCTAGAGGTGACTCCTACGAACTCTAGAGGTGGCTCCCACAGTCCCACTACATCCACACGGTGTAACACTTAGCCCCGTATAGCACTTAGCTCCACACTTTCGGGTGGCAACTGTTCTGATACCATTTGTCACGCCCTGGACCCACGGGCCCGTTGGCGCGTGCAAGCCGTAGGACCCACGAAACTCGATATTAACTAAAGTCTACTGCCAAAATACTAGCACTAGTTGTTCTTGGGTATTGGGCTTCTCTATTTAAACCACTAACATTTCTACACACTAGTCTATGTGGGACTAAAGCTCTCTATTTAAATCACTAACATTTCTACACACTAGTCTATGTGGGACTAAAGTGAGGGTGTCACAAGAAGCGCATGCACGTGTCCAGAATATGATGATAGTCGGAAGAACTACCTCTAATATAAAGAAACTAGTGCGAATAGAGATTATTATTACATTGTCAGCTAGAAATATCATCTCTGTCCAATGATGAACTTACAGGTGTTGATGGGGATCCCAAAAGAACTATTCAACTGAGATGAATTTCACTGGCACTATCAACATCATTATTTAAATAGAGGATCAATTCTTCATCATATTCGTAGAGATTGTGGTTGTTATACCTAACTTAGCAATAAAGTATGCATATCTTCGTGCAATATGATTATCAAGGTTCTTTTATCATTAGTGATATCAACTAACATATTTCTCGAATTTGACTCTAGTAGAACCTCATAATCCTATATTTAAAAAGTATAACACACCATAGCGTATTGTACAAGCCTACTCCCCCATCCTCAATTCCAAATAAGTGGGATATCACGATCCCGTTGTCCCCAATTCCAAATAAGTGATGTACCATGAACCGGAACGAACCATGCTCCAAGCGATTATGCTACAGAAAGCGCAAAGAAAGCATTTCCTAGAACAGACACCTTGATCTCCAAAAAAACATTTTCATCATCACTTTAAAGAGAAAAAAAAATTATGCTAAGCCACGATGCTCTAAGACAACCAAATAAGTGTTTGTTTTAAAATGTAAGTACTCTATATAACTTGTGATTCACAAAGTGTTGTTTTTTTTATATATAAAGGAAAGATTCATAATAAATCCTCAACTAAAATAAAAAATGTATTGATTTTTCCTTTAAAGTTCAGATCCAACAAAATATGCTTTTTGAACCTCCAAGAGATTGAAGTTGTAGTCAAACTACATTCTTTTTGAATTAGTCCCCGAGTCATGGATCTTGGAGGTATTAACTCTATATGCCAACGATAAATCTTGATCGGTATAAAAGTTTTCCAGTTGAGGTTTATCAGAGGGGCAAAGACCTACCGTGACATGGATTAAATAATGGACTTTATTATATAAAATCTTAAGTTATTGTGTCCCTAAAGAAGCTCATTGTCAATTTCTATACGTATTCTCTGATGTATTAACTTTGCCATCACGATTGCCCAATGCTATTCTAGTTACAGGCCTGTCTTAAAATATACTTTAGATCTTTATCGAAGAAGCCCACTCTAGGTGTAACCCATAGCAACAAAAACAAGCTTTACAACCTGGAATGGTAGGTATATCATGCCACGTTTCAATGTCATACTATACACCTAACATACTATCAAAGCAATTCATGTCGTAGAAGTACAAGACTCTCACAAAACAACATGAGAAAAGTTTATTGTGCAGTTAATAAACTTCAGGCTTTCTGAGACTATAATCATAAGTTACTCAAACAGGCTAACAGCACTACAAGTGTTTAGTAGAATAACTATACCAAAGAATACTTCACAATTACAAATTATCAAATCACTCAAGGAGCAGCAAAAGTCTACAACATCTTAATTAATGTTAGTATGTTACAATTTGAACAGAAAAGAACTTGTTCCTTTTTATTCCCCCTTCCTTTCCTTCTCCTTTTCGTTTCTCCTCTCTCTTAATGCATTTCAAATGTCATAAAATATTCCATCTAACCTAGAGATAACATTCAAAACGCCATCGTCTATATTTCATATCTTTCCACATTTTAAATAACTAATAATACTTTGACATTAGAATTTTAATAAAAGCCCTACATATCAATTGCTTAGGCAAATAGGACATCATCTCCACCAAGTTGAAGATCAGCGTTACCTTTTTCCTTCAAATCCCATTTGGATAAAACGAATCAAACAGGAACGCCCCAAGTGAGATCAGCGCCATCTATGGAAAGGACAAGCTCAAAAAAGCCAAACCATTGCATGCACCAATAAAATACAGCCCAATCAAAATTCAATTTTTACAGTAACCTTCCTTTATTAGTTCTCAATTTCTTTAAGCCCCCACCTTTTTGAAAGATTAGCCAGAAAATAAATCTAAAGAAGTTACCTCATCAAATGGGTAAACACAAATCGTATCTAGATAGTCAAAAAAACTAGCGAAATAGGTGGATTACCTGCGCAATCAAAGTGGCGATAACCGAGCTTGATGGAAGAGAGGACGAGATCTCTGATGGATTTGCCCTCCATTCTCCAGACGCCGAGGCCGATCATCGGCATCTTGAATCCGCTGCTCAGCGTGATCGCCATTGCTTCTGCTCTCTGCTTCTCTCTCTTTGGAGCGTGAATGCCGGCTTAAAACGCTTTATTAGATTCTTCGTTGGGATAATTCCATTGAGGTCCTTCAGAACTTTTTATAAACTTTTTTCTCTTCCTCTTTTTATCTTTCTCTATCTCTATGTTTCCCTTGCATATCATTTTTCTAAATATCTACCACTAATATAATGGCTCGAAATCACTGCATGCTAAAAACAGAAATAGTCGGCTACCTTCTCTAGTGTTTTGAAAACACTAGTTTTCGGTCGGCTCTCTTTCTTGTAAAAACCCTAGATCTCAGTCCGTTTCTTTTTCTCTCTGGAAGCGTGTAACGCTTCTCTCCCCCTCCCTCGTGACGGATCTCCATCGGCATGATCGTCTCTTTTTATTTTTTTCTCTAGCCGGTTTCTACAATCTTTGTGAGGCATGGTTCTTCTTGTCTCACTCCGATAGTTTTGCGGTGAATTATTTGGCGAGATCTGAGTCTCGTTCCCAACCCTCACGACAGCCTTCGAGGTTTTCCACATCTCGGCCTCCGAGGTAGCTATCTCTCGGCTCACACGAACGGCACCGTCGTTTCATAATTAAGTAACGGCATCGCCGTTTTATATTTATTTAACGGCATCGTCGTTTCATATTTAATTAACGGCATTGTCGTTTCATATTCAATTAACGTCATCGCAGTTTCAGGGTCACCTTTCGGTCTCCAATTAACGTCATCGCCGTTTAAGCCGTCTCTCAGACTCAAATTAACGGCATCGCCATTTTAAGACCGTCTATCGGTCTCATATTAACGGCATCACCATTTCAAGCAGCCTCTCGGCTCCAAATCAATTTGGAACATGGCGAGAATTGATGATGATGGGTTGGCCGAGCTTTGTGCCAAATGCAGCTTAGACGATAAAGATGACCCGGTTTTTCTGTCAACTAAGAACCGGACAGATTCACCCTCCCTTAACAACTATCTCTTGGGGAAGGTTTTTGGTAGGAAGATTGCTAAATAGAGATGGTCTTGAGCGTGTCCTTAGGAAGGTATGGATTGTAGATGCCCCCTTCCAAGTGGAACATTACAGTGGAAGGAATACTTTTCTTTTTAAATTTGATTTCCGATGCAGATAGGGAGAAAGTGCTTGATGGTGGGCCATGGTACTTTGAAAGGAACTTGCTCAATTTGATTGTTTCTCATGGAGTCAATGCCCCAACTTTCTCAGGATTTCTCTTCAACTTTATTTAGGGTAAATGTCAAGAATGTACCACTGGCTGCGATGAACGAGAGGTGTGCCAGAGACTATGGCTCGCTTATAGGAGAACTTAAAGGGATTGATTTGCGGATAACAAGATGTGGCTGAGAATTCTCGTGGATATTACTAAGCCTCCAAAAAGAGGCATACGTGTTTGCTTTGAAGAGACCGGAGAGATTGAGAAGCTCTTCCTCACCTATGAGAGACTTCCTGACTTTTGCTTTTCATGTGGCATTATTGTCCACAAAGCTGCTGAGTGTGACAAATGAAGTGTGCAAGTCGATGGTATTTTTATCGCATCCAAAAGCAGATATGGTTCTTAGCTCAGAGTACCCCCTCCATCTTTCAAGGCCTTTTGTAAAACCCTGATAATTTATGTTAATATAATTAATATGAGATTAATTATAATTTATGGATATTTACTTTGATAAATATAGTTAAATGGGAATGAGTATGATACCATGTGTTTTGAATATGAACGAGTTCATACATGAGGAAAAAAAAGTTGAAACATGCACAATGGCCAAATATGTGTAACTGGAAAATTCCAATTCGGTCGACCACTGCGGTCGACCGCGAAACCTGTAGAAAGTCAGATTCCTTTTTTGAGTTGGTTTTGGTTTTCTAAAGCCCATATCCGTTTTCTGGTATATATATATCATATGTTCACAATATTTTCAATTTTCTAAGAACCCTAACAGCCACCAAAACCCCTTTAAATCCTAATTTTGATTCTTGGAGAAGATTGGAGGCTTTCAAGTGGATTTTCGCGTGAATTTTGGCGTTTGGATTATAGATCTTCCTTGGCCTGGCTTCTTAAACGTTTTTCTACAAACCCCAGGCGAGTTCATCACTGCTAATCCCCCTCCTATTTTTTAAAATATTTTTAAAGAGTTTTTAACATGTTTTGTAGAGCCAAATTAACTAGTTTATGAATAAAAGTCAATTCTTTTGTATTATATGTATAAAGACTAGGTCTTTCCATGTTAAAAAGTTTGAGAAAAAATTTACAAAACTGAAAATGATTTAAAACGTGGTTTAATCTGAAGAAAGATGATTTGTTCTTCGTTTCGAGTTTTTATGTATGACTAGGGTTTTGAATATTAATTTTATGCAAATAATCATGCTATATATGTTGGGTTTGTTTCAAGAAGTTTTTATCTATTGTAGATATGCTCTCATGCAAGTTTCATGTTGTTTTAATCATGTTTGAATCACTTAAACACGACGTGAACATGACACACACAAGCAGATTGAGAATCAGGAATATCAGCCCACGGTCGACCGCGCCATAGCGGCGGTTGACCGCGTGCAGGATAGAGGCCTGAGTAGGCTCTAGAACCCGTCGCGGTCGATCGCCGCCACATAGTCAGTGGCCCTGTGCATGTTTTGTTCGACTGTTGAGTTTTCGAGCTAGTCTCTCGACCTTGTACTATTATGATTCAATGTTTATGAGTTGTATAACACCTAAGATGTCAGTGAACACCAGTTATGGACACGCACACCGAGATATGTGCACGTATGTTTAGAATATGTGGTGTCAACATATTTTTATCCTAATTTAAGTTGATAAATATGAAGAGCATAACATATTTCATTGTATTCCGGAATGGGGAGATAAAACCTATTTTCGCAGAGCAGTTGAGTAAGAGTATTACAAAAGTATCATCATTCCATTGTATTCTGGAATAGGAGATAAGACCTATTTTTGTAGGACGATTGAGTAAGAGTATTACAAAAGTATTGTCATTTTATTGTATTCCGGGATAGGGAGATAAAACCTATTACCGCAGAGCGATTGAGTAATAATATTATAAAAGTATCGCTATTGCATAAGGTGGGAGATAAAACCTATTACCGCAGAGCGATTGAGTAATAATATTATAAAAGTATCGCTATTGCATAAGGAGATGCACATATGTAAGTGATTGAGTAATAATATTATAAAAGTATCGCTATTGCATAAGGAGATGCACATATGTAAGTATTATTTGTCGTATTTTGCTTTCATATTGGTTTCCCGCGAGTAGGGTATTTCTTTTAAGATCGTGGCTTGCATGACATAGCTTATGATTGATTTTTTTGTTCAGGATGAGATCCCTCTTATGTTAGAGTTGTCTACCCGAGTGTAATTGAGATGAGATATTTATTCTACATGGGATGAGATCCCTCTTATGTTAGAGTTGTCTACCCGAGTGTAATTGAGATGAGATATTTATTCTACATGTTTGAGGTTTGGAGTGTTTTCCTTTTCGAGTGTAATTGAGATGAGATATTTATTCTACATGTTTGAGGTTTGGAGTGTTTTCCTTTTGGTTTATTGTTTTCATTCATAGGGTTTGGGGTTAGTATTTAGGGAGTCACAATTTGAGACATGGTATGTACATAAGGGTTTCCTTATTTGGATTATTTCGCTCAACGTACTAACTCTCGTGTTGTGATTTCCTAAATATTAACTTTCAGTTAGAATTTTATGAATGATTTCATATGTATATGTACTAACTCTATTTTCTATATACTCCTACCCCTTCCCCTTGGGAGAAGTGGAGATGATCTCGCTATAGTGCTTTGACACTCGTTGTTTTCCCCCCTTTCAGGCAGTGAGTCAGGCGTACGAAGAGTCGCAGGTTAATGGGATTTCCTCATAGATTCCATCTAGCTATTTACTATTTAGTAGTTATTTCAGAACTCCTCAGTTAGTTGGGGATTTCCTCATAGATTCCATCTAGCTATTTACTATTTAGTAGTTATTTCAGAACTCCTCAGTTAGTTGTTTATGTTCAGACTCTAGACTTGTATTTCATTTTGTAGAGGCTGAGAGCCATAGTGATATTTTATTTGACTCATTGTACTTGAGGTTTATTTCAGACTCAGAGTTATTTCTACTCTATTTTAGTTGGGCTCACTGATGACTATTCTCATGCTTTCTCTGTGTATATCTGACTTTACTCTATTTCTTTCATTTGCATGTCCGTTCCTTCACCTATTTGTTATTTCCACTAGAGAGATAGTAATTGTGATGGTGAAACATGTCGTAGCACAGTGTTTGGTGCTTGGCAGGTTTGACATTCTGGGTTTCGCCTTGGACTGTAGCCTCACGTGAAACCTGGGACGTCACAGTTTGTATCAGAACTCTAGTTCCAATATCCTTAGCGTCATCCCTATGTCATATTATGGAGTTAGGATAGAGTTCCCTAGGAATCATGTATACAGTCCGTTAGGAAATCCTAGTATGAGTGGGGACGTATTATATACATACGCGAAAAATTACAATTTTTTTATTATGATGAACTATTTGCTTTGAATAATAAGGTATGCTATGAGTAATATGTGATACGATTTACTTATTGGTATACATTATATCTTTTTCTTCTTGAGATTCTATTTACTACGTGAAAAGCCCTACTTCTATATTATAGATGTCAGGAAGAAGTCATGGACGTCGAGGTACTCGTGCCCAGGAAGCTGAGCAAGTCGATAGAGAGCCCGAGCCGCAGCAGTCTTCGTAGTACTTGGTGGATCTCATAGCATCGTTAGAAGCTCGTCTGGTGCCCGAGCCGCAGCAGTCTTCGTAGTACTTGGTGGATCTCATAGCATCGTTAGAAGCTCGTCTGGTAGCTATTAAGGAGCAGTTAGCAGATCAGGGTCGGCAGGGAACACCCATTCAGGAGAAGATACCAGAGGGGACACCGGTAGTCACGCCACCACTTTCGGTTGATGATGGAGTGGCTGAGCGGGAGGCTTGGCTTCACCTGGTAGAGAGGTACCAGAAGTTGAAGGCTCCTGAATTCCATGGTTCAACAGATTCCATTACAGCGCACAAATGGAAGGAAGATGTAAGCAACATTCTGGATATGCTTAACATGAATACTGTGCAGAAGCAAAAGCTAGCA